ATGCATGAAAAAAACAAAAACATTCATACGACCAAGATACAAAGGTACCTGCGGTTGACACTGTTTGGTGGCAATACACACATAGGTGTTGGATTCGACTTGTCTCGTTAAACTTTTTTTTTTCATCTATAACATTCCTTAAAAAGCACACTGAATAATTCTATTCATCCATAAAAAAAAATCACCCTTTAATCTCAGTTGAACTCATGCATAAACAAATCATCAATGCATAAAAATATTTTTTTTTTACCAATGATTAAAAAGATACTTACTTTAGTACTAGTTTTCTTTCCCTCCTTATGTGGTTCCTCAACAACCAAGGGAAAATAATTCCCCACCTTTTCTTCTACATATAAATCAATGAATAATAAAAATAATACTAATAATAAGGCAATCATCAATCATGGCTGCAATCATTCCTAGCCAATCTTACTAAGTTTTCTTCTTAATTTCAAAGTTAACCTGACCATGTACTGATTGGACCGTGATGAATGAATCCAAGCCTGTTTCAGTCTCAAGCGTATAATAACAGTAATCATAACCACAAAGAAACCATTCAACCCACTAAGAATAATCACCACACACAAACACATAAAATATAATAAAGGAGGAAGAAGATGAACATAATACAAGTAAGTAAGTAAGTAAGTAACACCGCGAGAAAAATAAAAAAGGAAGAAAAATAAAAGTTACCTCAACTTTCTTCATCCAAGACGAAGCTTTCTGAACCTGCTCGCTCTCCCACCCATTGATCACAGCGTCTTCTCTCTTGAACCTGTTGTTAATCTTCGCAACCTTCGCGTTCTGCCACGCCGATATCTTCGTATCCACCTCCTCCTTCTTCACCCTCTGCACCGACACGTGCTCTTCACGTGCACCACCACCACCACCCATTTGGGACGAGGGAACCGGGTCCAGAGGGTGGTTATCCGGCACGATTGCCAGAGGGTTCGTCTCTTCCATCAACTCATCTTCTCTGATCCTTCCCAGGTTGTTGTTCACGTTGTTTTGGTTGACGGGAGTTAGGTTGCGGTTGTTGTCGGGGTCGATGTTGGAGCCTGCGAGAACCAAGGCGTTGAACTCTCTGCTCATGGTGGTGAAGTTGTCGGAGGCGCCACCGTCGGTGCTGGCGACGGATAGGGAGTGGGTGTGAAGGGTGTCCCAGGGTCTGCCACGTGGGTGGGGAGGGTGAGTTGGTGTTAAGGCATGGATTTCTCTAACTTGTTCATCGTCTTCTTCTTGATCCTCTGAGCCATGGCTCGTTGAACCCATGATTAATGGATCGTTGAACATGGCGTGCGTGTGAGCGTGTGGGGTTGGGTTTTTTAATTATGTGTAGTGGAGCGAGTGAAGGGAAAGTAGTGTGCAAGAGACAAGAACAAAGTGAAACCAAAGAGTTTCATGAGCATGGGAGAGTGTGTTTCGTGTTGTGTGTTTTGTGTTTTATGAGGTTGTCATTAATGAATGGAAACGGAGGAATAAGTGTAGACCACACACACCACAAATGCAAAATCTTTCACCTTCAAAGGAATGAACTAAAATAAGGTCACAGTAGGTTTCTCATCGTCAAAGCAAAATCTTTTCTAAGCAATATTTTAATGGCCATTTTTCTTTCTTTTTCATTCCTTCACCTTTCCCGTTATTTCTGTTTTCTCCCCAGAAACAAAAATTGCAAATTCACTTTCTTTTCTTTTCTCAACACTTTCCTCTTTCTTTCCTCGGTAAAGTCTCTATAGCAACTTGTTTTCAACGTGGATTGAGACTAAAGGCATTGCTCTAATAGCACAATTAATAGTGGGACTCTATATTGATGTTCAAAATAACTGAATAATAAATGCTCAATAACATTAATTGAACTCAAGTCCTCTACTTAATTACATGTTAAGCTAGCTAGTTGAATAATCATTATTGTAGTACGTACCCAACTAAGTAAATGTGATTCTTATTATTTCTCTTTTTAAATTATTAGATTGCTTCCTATTATTAGTAGCACATAGGGTTGAGTTAGATAAAAAAAATTAACTTATCAACTTTAGTTAATATTCGGAGCTGAGTTCACTTCACAGACATTTCTTAATGTTTTGTGTTGTACAAAATCATCTTAAAATCTCTTGGCTATAATACAAATAAATAAACAAGCAAGCACGGCAGAGTGGATAATAACANTATAAATCATTACTTTTGCTGTTCACACATTCAATCAAAAGTTTCTGAGAAAAGAAAAATCTACTTCAGAAGTTTTGTATCGATTCACTTTCAGGTCATTTGGGTTTACAATTTTATATATCTTTTTGGCAATATATACGATTTTATGTATCTATTATCGATAAATAACTTACATAGGTTATTTTTATTTTAACTTTAATGGTTTTAATGCTTTAACAATTATCAAAATTCATTCACTTATTATTGATTTTTAAATACTTAAATAAAAAAATATGATGACATATTATTGAAGTCCATGTCTTCACATTAAACTAGTAAAAGGTTGTCCATTTTAATTATTTTTATAATATTTAAATCTTTCATTTAAGTATTAATTCAAATTTTTTCTTTTAAGATTATTATAATTACTTTTTAACAATTATGTGTGTAGGGTTTTATTGTAAACTTTTTTTTTTATCTTGAATCATGTTTACTATATTTAGATTCAAATTGAATTATGGAGGTTTGTTCCGATACTTAATGAGGTTATGCTGAGATGTCCAATACACAATGAGGTTAAGTACTATATTGTCTGGCTCGACTCCACCACAATGGATAAAATGTAATGAGGAACTACAAAAGGGAAGTTCAATACAGTCCACAAAAGGAAGATTCAATACAATTCCCACACAGTACCAGGTAAATAAATAAATAAATTGTAATGTTATCGTGTTTCCTTGTTTTTTAATGTTCTACAAGATTTTATCTATATCTTACTCTTCCGACCATTTTCATAAATTATTTTCTTTATGTTTTTTTTTATTTTATTTGTGATATTACCGGAATTGGTAGCTTGAAAACTCTTGTTGGTTAGGATTACTTAATAAAAAAATTTATATCTATATTGATATATTGAGTATGAATGATTACCGAGTATTTGTTGGAGAATACTAGTTGTATTTATAAGATAAATATAGATTGTGGATTGAGATTATCATTTTAGTTATATAATAATGGAGTAGTTAATAATAACTATAATACCAAACTATAAATATTAATTATGATATGTAAATATTGCTTTGAGTTGTTTCTGAGTGAATAAACTTAATAGGTCTTGTTGGATCATTCTCTTTAGTATGTCTATTGATTCAAGTAGAAAAAAATTTGCATTATTGTTTTTAGTATTTCAATATTGTATCTTATTACATCATGAAATTTTTTTCCGAAAATGTTTTCCATAATTTTGTGGACATCTTTTGTAGAAGAACAACTAAAGTAATGCAAAACATTTGGACATTTTTAATGTTGCAAAATCCTAAACATATGTTTATCTTATTCTTCTATCACTATATTTTTTTTATTTGTATTTACTTTATTTTGATACTAATTTTTATGATACAGTTATGTTTTGAGAATATTTTGCAAAAAGAGAACAATGTTATCTACGAAGATGATAAAAATTCAAGATTAAAATTTTTATGAATGAGTAGAGACATTGTATTTTGTGTTTGTGTTTGTGTTTGTGTTTTTGTTTTAAAAATCCCAATGGTGAGCCTTGTTTTTTTTTGGAGATATATGAATTTAAATAAAATGTCAAAATAATATTTACATCCCACAATGTCCTTTAATTGAAAACAATAAATCATATTTACTTTCTTTGGTTGGTTGAATTTGTTTTGATTTTTTTGTGCTTAATATGATGTGTCTTGGTACTTTTGTTTATAGAACAATACTTTGTTTCATAATTTAATAAGCAAAAGAAGTGAATTGTTTCCTTCTATCTTTAATATTTGGTGAAGAAAGAGTTATTTAAGTTCATGCATAGTTTGATCATAAGATTCAAGGTGAATAATTGAATTAAAACTTTTGAAAGATATTAAGTATTTAGGAATTTTCATTTATCCTCTTAAATTAAAGTAAGTGTACAATTATAATGTACTAAAAAATATTGATTAATCAAATAATCTTTGCTACTAATAAGGTTGCAAGTGAATAATTTGAAAACAAAAAGGTTACTTTTGCTATCATTATAGGTAGAAATATCATGAAAAAGTATTTATCTTCAATATAAATTTGATTTATTTTGGTTTAGAGTTTTTTTTTAAATTTTTTTTTTAAAAAAAGACAACTCCCAGTCTATTTACTATTTATGTATATGGTTTATATGACAATGAATAAATAACTCTCAAAGTCAATTATTTTTTAAGATTCAACTTCATTTTCAAGATTCAGTACGCGGAACATTCATATTAAATTTATAAAATTTATTTGTTTTCATGTACTAAAATAAAATATTTTATTAATTATTCTCAAAATATATAATATTAATAATCGTTATTTTATTTATATACGAATTATTTATTTTGATTAATTCAATTATGACATTTTATTAAAAATTATATAAATGACTTAAACAGTGAAAAAATAATATATTTTTTTTAAATTTTAAATTTATATATTAATTTTTTTCACGGTACAAACACTTTTAATATATATTCAAGAGTTTCTGTAATTAATGTTGTGGTTCTTGAGTATTTTATATTAATAGATTTTGGTTTTTGTCATACCTGATCATGCTGTGCTAGGTCACTATAGATCGAAAATAAGGGAGAAAAATTGCACATTGAGTTTGAGAATGTCTAAATATAAGATTAAAATCAATTTAAAATTCTTAAAAATGTTATATCTATTTGAAATTACACTAACTAATGGAAATAAAATATATAGATAACAAAACTTTTATAAGAATTATATTAAAAGATGTAGTAATACAAACTCTAACATAAAAAAGAAATAAGGTATAGTGCAAAAGTAGTAATATGTGTTTGTATTATGTAATAAGCTCGCGCATTCAGACTTTTATGTATGTCTTCTACTTTTACGTTTCACAAGTGAAGACAATATCTAACTGACTTAACTATATTAATGATGGACAAAACAGAGCAGTTGAAAAGAGCAAATATAGCACAACTATATTATGGAGGTCTCTCTAAATTGAAATGCCTTGACTAATAGCTCTAACTAATTTTCACGAGAGAAAAAGTGCAAAACCACAAAAAAGAAATAAAAATCAACATTATGAAAAACACATCCAGAAAATAAGGGGCTTCCGACTATGTCTGGCTCTTCTTCATAGGTTCTTCTTTTTCATCAATCACAATGTTCTTGATGTGTGATATTTTGGGCCAAAACTCTCCGACATTGGGTTCATACTTTTTATATAAGTTAGCACAACCTCTAATTTTCAAACTTTCAAGTGCAGTGAGGTAATGAATGTTATCTGACATAGATACCAAATTTGGACAATTTATTAAACCAAGTGCTTTGAGATCAGTCAAAGTTGTTAACCAATCTGGAAGGGTTTCAATATTGTGACAATTTGAAACAAACAAGCACTGTAAGGATTTGGCAGCTTCCTGAAGCCATTTAGGCAGGGCCACCAGCTGTGATAAACTGTTAAATCCAATAAATTTTAACTTCAGTTTGGGTCTTTCTTTTTCATGATCGCCCTTCCACAAGTCCAAGTCCAAATCACCGCAGTCTGCAACAATCAATGTTTCTAATTCAGGAAAATTTTGACCATCCAGCCACAATGACTTTAGACTCTGACAGTTCCGAACTACCAATGTTTTAAGAGCATGGAATTTCACCCCTCCAAAGACGGACTCCACATTATGGCATGAATCAATGACCAAGTATTCAAGCGATCCCAATTGTGCGATCTCGTTCAAAGGCAAAATAGTTTGCTTTGTGCTAAAGTCCAAAGAACGGAGACTGATTAGTTTTCTTAATCCTTTGGGCAATATTTCCAGCTTCTTGCATCTCTTAATTGACAACACTTGCAAACTTTGGAGCTTGCAAATAGAGTCTGGGAGTCTCTTAATGTTGAGATTTTCGCTTATGTCCAAATATCTCAAATGTTTCATCTTAGCAATGGCACGGGGCAAAGTCTTGCATGTCGAACCATGTAAATCCAAAACTCGCAAGCATTTGAACTTTGACAGACACGTATTTAGTAAAGCTTCATCCTTGGCAGCTGCTGCACCATTTGAAAACAGTACGGATCTCACAACTGCTGATTTTTTGGTGACTAAATTTCCGAACAAACTGCTTTCGGCAAAAGACAGATGACGAACATTATCTGGAATATTTTGAATTTTGAAATTCACATGTAGACACTCATCCGTAGCAACAAATAGGGCAAGATCATGCACCAAATCATGTATTCTAAACCTAAACTTAGTGCCAAAGGTTTCAAAATCTTGGAGAAAGGATCTTGACAAGAGTTCATGCAAATATTGATTTGCCACATCTTCAAGTGTTCTACTCGTTTTTGGTAGTGCAATGAGTCCAAGTGATCCCCAAATCGCAGCTATTTCATAACTAGGGAATGAATAATCCTTTGGGTAAAGGGAAAACAATGCAAAACATTGCCTCAAATAGGATGGCAAGAGATCATAACTCAGTTTAAGGGCAGGTAAAATGTCATCCTTTTTCTGAGGCAAATTCCAGATTTCACTGTCACTCACATATTCCCATTCACTGTCCTCAAATTTCGAGAATAGTAAACTACCTAATGTTCTCACTGCCAATGGAACCCCTCTGCATTTTTTCACAATTTCTCTGCCAATATTCACTAAGTGAGGATGTTTTTCTTCCTCTCCTTCTTTAAATGCCCACTTCACAAACACAGACAATGACTCCTGCTCAGAAAGACCTTCTAAAATGTGAGAGGGAACTGTACCCATCATAGAAGCAATGGAATGACTACGTGTGGTCACTACAACTTTACTTCCTGCTCCGCTTACTTGGATTAAATTCCTCAACTCAACCCATTTAACACGGTCTTCGTTCCATACGTCGTCCAATACGAGTAAGAACTTTTGACCGGAAAGTGTTCTTTTCAATTGCTTTTGCAGTTGCTCCAGATCCAACATGTTCAAATTCTGTTGGTGAGGAGGAACATCTTCATCATTGGCAGAATTGATGATTTTGATAATAAGTTGCTTAATGTCAAAGTCATCTGAAACACACACCCACATCTTCAATGGGAAGCACTCCTGGATCCTGTTGTCATTGAACACAAACTTTGCAAGCGTAGTCTTTCCCAAGCCTCCAATCCCCACAATGGGGATAACAGACAGACTTGTATCATCATCATTAGGATTCTGCTGCATCAAANCCTTCCGCCGCGAGTACTTCCCCTTCGAGCTGGTACGCACCTTCGCCGAGTTCGACGCGAAAGTAACCACCCTCGATTGGAGCCCGGACTCCAAGTACCTCATCGTCGGGTCCAAGGATTTAACCGCGAGAATCTTGTGCTTGAAGAAATTGAATAGTGGTGGAAAGAAAAAACCCTTTTTGCTCCTAGGGCACAGGGATTCGGTTGTAGGTTCGTTCTTCGGTGTCAATTCGAAAACTAGTAGAGTTTGTAAGGCTTATACGATTACTAGGGATTGTTACTTATTTAGCTGGGGTTTTACTTCTGATAGTGGTGGTGAGGCTGAGGGTTCGGAGCCGCCCTCGCCAGGGACGCCGGAGAGGGACGCGGAAAGGAATTTGGAGGTTGTTGAGAATGATGGTGTGAAGAAGAGGAAGAAAATTGATGTTGAGGATGGTGATGAGGGTTACCTGAGTAAGGGAAAGTGGGAGTTATTGAGGAAGGATGGGTTTATGCAGGGATGGGCAAAAGTGACAGCATGTGATTATCATAGGGGTTGTATCAGATGTGGTGTTTGTTGGATTTTCTAATGGTGTGTTTGGGTTGTATCAGATGCCAGATTTTGTGTGCATTCATTTGCTATCTATTTCAAAGGAGAAAATTACCACAGCTGTGTTTAACGAGCTTGGGAACTGGCTGACATTTGGCTGCGCCAAATTGGGGCAACTGCTGGTGTGGGAGTGGCGTTCTGAGAGCTACATTTTGAAGCAGCAGGGTCATTACTTTGATGTTAACTGTGTGAATGGAAGGAAAAATAAAAATGATAAAAATCCACGAAGGATGCCACCTGGATGCCTCAGCTTCCACTTCATAACAAAGTTAACGTACGTTAACTACATTTAACGGAGATCCTATTATTGAATCACATTTACCAAATTAGGGACCCAATTGATCACTTTAAAAATGGGAGGACCCAACTGAAACGAACCCGCAAATATAGGGACCTCCGAACCTATTAAACCTATATATAACTGTTTTCATAATGAAAATGTTTAAAAGATCTTATTAAATCGTGTTTTTTGATATGTTTATTGAGTTAAATAAACATAAATGTTAATTAAAATTATTTTAATCAATGTTCAACGAATTCAGCAGTGGTTAGGTTCAGTAGTTATAATAATATTTTTAATTTGTATTGAAAAATTATTAATCAATAAATTTTAGAAGGTAGTTATGAGTTTTCCGTAACATGCATCCTGATTTCAAATTTCAAAACACATCTTTTCTCGCAACGATGTAATGTTGTTGGTGGCTTGAAGTATGATTTCCACACCTTTAAATAGATTTTGTATAAATCATTACTTTTGCTGTTCACACATTCAATCAAAAGTTTCTGAGAAAAGAAAAATCTACTTCAGAAGTTTTGTATCGATTCACTTTCAGGTCATTTGGGTTTACAATTTTATATATCTTTTTGGCAATATATACGATTTTATGTATCTATTATCGATAAATAACTTACATAGGTTATTTTTATTTTAACTTTAATGGTTTTAATGCTTTAACAATTATCAAAATTCATTCACTTATTATTGATTTTTAAATACTTAAATAAAAAAATATGATGACATATTATTGAAGTCCATGTCTTCACATTAAACTAGTAAAAGGTTGTCCATTTTAATTATTTTTATAATATTTAAATCTTTCATTTAAGTATTAATTCAAATTTTTTCTTTTAAGATTATTATAATTACTTTTTAACAATTATGTGTGTAGGGTTTTATTGCAAACTTTTTTTTTTATCTTGAATCATGTTTACTATATTTAGATTCAAATTGAATTATGGAGGTTTGTTCCGATACTAAATGAGGTTATGCTGAGATGTCCAATACACAATGAGGTTAAGTACTATATTGTCTGGCTCGACTCCACCACAATGGATAAAATGTAATGAGGAACTACAAAAGGGAAGTTCAATACAGTCCACAAAAGGAAGATTCAATACAATTCCCACACAGTACCAGGTAAATAAATAAATAAATTGTAATGTTATCGTGTTTCCTTGTTTTTTAATGTTCTACAAGATTTTATCTATATCTTACTCTTCCGACCATTTTCATAAATTATTTTCTTTATGTTTTTTTTTATTTTATTTGTGATATTACCGGAATTGGTAGCTTGAAAACTCTTGTTGGTTAGGATTACTTAATAAAAAAATTTATATCTATATTGATATATTGAGTATGAATGATTACCGAGTATTTGTTGGAGAATACTAGTTGTATTTATAAGATAAATATAGATTGTGGATTGAGATTATCATTTTAGTTATATAATAATGGAGTAGTTAATAATAACTATAATACCAAACTATAAATATTAATTATGATATGTAAATATTGCTTTGAGTTGTTTCAGAGTGAATAAACTTAATAGGTCTTGTTGGATCATTCTCTTTAGTATGTCTATTGATTCAAGTAGAAAAAAATTTGCATTATTGTTTTTAGTATTTCAATATTGTATCTTATTACATCATGAAATTTTTTTCCGAAAATGTTTTCCATAATTTTGTGGACATCTTTTGTAGAAGAACAACTAAAGTAATGCAAAACATTTGGACATTTTTAATGTTGCAAAATCCTAAACATATGTTTATCTTATTCTTCTATCACTATATTTTTTTTATTTGTATTTACTTTATTTTGATACTAATTTTTATGATACAGTTATGTTTTGAGAATATTTTGCAAAAAGAGAACAATGTTATCTACGAAGATGATAAAAATTCAAGATTAAAATTTTTATGAATGAGTAGAGACATTGTATTTTGTGTTTGTGTTTGTGTTTGTGTTTTTGTTTTAAAAATCCCAATGGTGAGCCTTGTTTTTTTTTGGAGATATATGAATTTAAATAAAATGTCAAAATAATATTTACATCCCACAATGTCCTTTAATTGAAAACAATAAATCATATTTACTTTCTTTGGTTGGTTGAATTTGTTTTGATTTTTTTGTGCGTAATATGATGTGTCTTGGTACTTTTGTTTATAGAACAATACTTTGTTTCATAATTTAATAAGCAAAAGAAGTGAATTGTTTCCTTCTATCTTTAATATTTGGTGAAGAAAGAGTTATTTAAGTTCATGCATAGTTTGATCATAAGATTCAAGGTGAATAATTGAATTAAAACTTTTGAAAGATATTAAGTATTTAGGAATTTTCATTTATCCTCTTAAATTAAAGTAAGTGTACAATTATAATGTACTAAAAAATATTGATTAATCAAATAATCTTTGCTACTAATAAGGTTGCAAGTGAATAATTTGAAAACAAAAAGGTTACTTTTGCTATCATTATAGGTAGAAATATCATGAAAAAGTATTTATCTTCAATATAAATTTGATTTATTTTGGTTTAGAGTTTTTTTTTAAATTTTTTTTTTAAAAAAAGACAACTCCCAGTCTATTTACTATTTATGTATATGGTTTATATGACAATGAATAAATAACTCTCAAAGTCAATTATTTTTTAAGATTCAACTTCATTTTCAAGATTCAGTACGCGGAACATTCATATTAAATTTATAAAATTTATTTGTTTTCATGTACTAAAATAAAATATTTTATTAATTATTCTCAAAATATATAATATTAATAATCGTTATTTTATTTATATACGAATTATTTATTTTGATTAATTCAATTATGACATTTTATTAAAAATTATATAAATGACTTAAACAGTGAAAAAATAATATATTTTTTTTAAATTTTAAATTTATATATTAATTTTTTTCACGGTACAAACACTTTTAATATATATTCAAGAGTTTCTGTAATTAATGTTGTGGTTCTTGAGTATTTTATATTAATAGATTTTGGTTTTTGTCATTTCTGATCATGCTGTGCTAGGTCACTATAGATCGAAAATAAGGGAGAAAAATTGCACATTGAGTTTGAGAATGTCTAAATATAAGATTAAAATCAATTTAAAATTCTTAAAAATGTTATATCTATTTGAAATTACACTAACTAATGGAAATAAAATATATAGATAACAAAACTTTTATAAGAATTATATTAAAAGATGTAGTAATACAAACTCTAACATAAAAAAGAAATAAGGTATAGTGCAAAAGTAGTAATATGTGTTTGTATTATGTAATAAGCTCGCTCATTTAGACTTTTATGTATGTTTTCTACTTTTACGTTTCACAAGTGAAGACAATATCTAACTGACTTAACTATATTAATGATGGACAAAACAGAGCAGTTGAAAAGAGCAAATATAGCACAACTATATTATGGAGGTCTCTCTAAATTGAAATGCCTTGACTAATAGCTCTAACTAATTTTCACGAGAGAAAAAGTGCAAAACCACAAAAAAGAAATAAAAATCAACATTATGAAAAACACATCCAGAAAATAAGGGGCTTCCGACTATGTCTGGCTCTTCTTCATAGGTTCTTCTTTTTCATCAATCACAATGTTCTTGATGTGTGATATTTTGGGCCAAAACTCTCCGACATTGGGTTCATACTTTTTATATAAGTTAGCACAACCTCTAATTTTCAAACTTTCAAGTGCAGTGAGGTAATGAATGTTATCTGACATAGATACCAAATTTGGACAATTTATTAAACCAAGTGCTTTGAGATCAGTCATAGTTGTTAACCAATCTGGAAGGGTTTCAATATTGTGACAATTTGAAACAAACAAGCACTGTAAGGATTTGGCAGCTTCCTGAAGCCATTTAGGCAGGGCCACCAGCTGTGATAAACTGTTAAATCCAATAAATTTTAACTTCAGTTTGGGTCTTTCTTTTTCATGATCGCCCTTCCACAAGTCCAAGTCCAAATCACCGCAGTCTGCAACAATCAATGTTTCTAATTCAGGAAAATTTTGACCATCCAGCCACAATGACTTTAGACTCTGACAGTTCCGAACTACCAATGTTTTAAGAGCATGGAATTTCACCCCTCCAAAGACGGACTCCACATTATGGCATGAATCAATGACCAAGTATTCAAGCGATCCCAATTGTGCGATCTCGTTCAAAGGCAAAATAGTTTGCTTTGTGCTAAAGTCCAAAGAACGGAGACTGATTAGTTTTCTTAATCCTTTGGGCAATATTTCCAGCTTCTTGCATCTCTTAATTGACAACACTTGCAAACTTTGGAGCTTGCAAATAGAGTCTGGGAGTCTCTTAATGTTGAGATTTTCGCTTATGTCCAAATATCTCAAATGTTTCATCTTAGCAATGGCACGGGGCAAAGTCTTGCATGTCGAACCATGTAAATCCAAAACTCGCAAGCATTTGAACTTTGACAGACACGTATTTAGTAAAGCTTCATCCTTGGCAGCTGCTGCACCATTTGAAAACAGTACGGATCTCACAACTGCTGATTTTTTGGTGACTAAATTTCCGAACAAACTGCTTTCGGCAAAAGACAGATGTCGAACATTATCTGGAATATTTTGAATTTTGAAATTCACATGTAGACACTCATCCGTCGCAACAAATAGGGCAAGATCATGCACCAAATCATGTATTCTAAACCTAAACTTAGTGCCAAAGGTTTCAAAATCTTGGAGAAAGGATCTTGACATGAGTTCATGCAAATATTGATTTGCCACATCTTCAATTGTTCTACTCGTTTTTGGTAGTGCAATGAGTCCAAGTGATCCCCAAATCGCAGCTATTTCATAACTAGTGAATGAATAATCCTTTGGGTAAAGGGAAAACAATGCAAAACATTGCCTCAAATAGGATGGCAAGAGATCATAACTCAGTTTAAGGGCAGGTAAAATGTCATCCTTTTTCTGAGGCAAATTCCAGATTTCATTTTTACTCACATATTCCCATTCATTGTCCTCAAATTTCGAGAATAGTAAACTACCTAATGTTCTCACTGCCAATGGAACCCCTCTGCATTTTTTCACAATTTCTCTGCCAATATTTACTAAGTGAGGATGTTTTTCTTCCTCTCCTTCTTTAAATGCCCACTTCACAAACACAGACAATGACTCCTGCTCAGAAAGACCTTCTAAAATGTGAGAGGGAACTGTACCCATCATAGAAGCAATGGAATGACTACGTGTGGTCACTACAACTTTACTTCCTGCTCCGCTTACTTGGATTAAATTCCTCAACTCAACCCATTTAACACGGTCTTCGTTCCATACGTCGTCCAATACGAGTAAGAACTTTTGACCGGAAAGTGTTCTTTTCAATTGCTTTTGCAGTTGCTCCAGATCCAACATGTTCAAATTCTGTTGGTGAGGAGGAACATCTTCATCATTGGCAGAATTGATGATTTTGATAATAAGTTGCTTAATGTCAAAGTCATCTGAAACACACACCCACATCTTCAATGGGAAGCACTCCTGGATCCTGTTGTCATTGAACACAAACTTTGCAAGTGTAGTCTTTCCCAAGCCTCCAATCCCCACAATGGGGATAACAGATAGACTTGTATCATCATCATTAGGATTCTGCTGCATCAAAAGTTCTATCATCTTTTCTTTATCGTTTTTCCTTCCAATCACATCTGAATCACTGACACGAGAGTGTGTCATATCTCTCCGATAAACAACACGTGTGTCAACATCAATTATTTGAAGACTAAACTTATGCCTATGCGCTGCAACCTTGTCTAGTCTTTTGTTGATATATTTAATTTGTTGTGTCATCTTGTAGCGAAAAAGAAGTGGATTAGAAGTGGAGAAGAAGTGACTTACCTTGTCTTTGGTGTTACCATGAGCTTTGACCACTTTGTTTTGCAGTGTTTGACACTCAAATTCATCCAAAACATCTTCGGCTTCGGAGAAGACAGTTTTAAGGTGAGTGAGCCATTCGCGGAGTTGATGGTTGTGATCTTGCTTTTGCTGAGCATCTAACAGAACAGCCTTGACTAAAGAGAGAGTCTTTCTAAGGTTTCGAAGATCGTGGTATAAACCCACCACTCGATAAGCTTCTTGAAAAGCATGAGAAGCAAGCTTTGCTATGAGTGACTCTGCTATGCTGAAGAGAAATAATTCGGCCATAGTTGTTTCCAGAACTACACGACAACTATTCCATTTGTTGCATTATTTTCAGCAGCGGTTAAAAAGAAATTAGAGGGCAAATGAGAAATATCTTGATATTAGTCTGGGCTTTTTTGCGGTTGTGTCCACAAACTTTTATAGTATACACCAGTGTAAAAAAGGTTTCCTGTTTTTTTTGACTTTTAAGGTCCTTTCCAACGTCAAAGAATGAACATTAAATTAAGTTAGTGATATTTTATTGGTTGTTATATTTGAAAAATAAGATGATTATAAAAAAGTTGTTAAAAATATATCTGATGTTTTATGGCGTCCAACTCAATCCTCTTCACGTGAATATCCAGAGGGTAAATATGATGAATCTATGAGCAAGTTAACATAGATTTTGTGAATACGAAGGAGTTGATTGAAATTCAAAGACTAAAAGTTAAGAAGTTAATTTTTAAGTCTAACTCAATTTTACAAAATCGATTTGTAAAGTGAGATTTACATTTCATTTATATATATTGTAATTTGGTCTTATATCTAATCGATGTCGGACTTCCAACTATGATTAATGTATGTTTGGCCTGTATTCTGATTTGTCTCATGAATCTGTTTAGATGCTTTTGATTGGAGAAGTTGAACATGAGTTATTGATGTAGGATATACTTGTTGTTGATTCTGTGAAAAATGAATAATTGTATGAGCTTGAATGCCATCTAGGTGCTGATACACGTTTCTGTGAGAGATGGAATGTGCATGAACTTTGACTGTCAATATTCATTGAACCTGTCGGTTTTGTAGGAGTAAGAGTATGTTTATTACAAAATTTTGAGCTATAGCATAGAAAACGTTTAAATGAGGAATAAATAATTGGAAGGAAATGACATAGATGTTAGAATTGGCCATGCCGTGTTGCTCCTCAAATTTTAAATTCTAGGACCACATACTCTTCACGGTACAAGTCTAATTGATATGGAGTGCAGAAATTTATTCGTTTTGGGCCATAATCCCATACTTTAGACATTCTTTTGTTCAATTATTTTAATCTATCACTGTATCTTGAATACCAGCCGTGATTTCTAATTATTTTTTTGTTTTGTTATAATAAATTTCTTCATGGATCATGATCCTAGGAAATATTAACGAAGTAGGTTCAAGTTACAATGTACTGTGTTGTTTACTCAAGACTATACTTTTCAAATATTAAATGACNGCACTCCTGGATCCTGTTGTCATTGAACACAAACTTTGCAAGCGTAGTCTTTCCCAAGCCTCCAATCCCCACAATGGGGATAACAGACAGACTTGTATCATCATCATTAGGATTCTGCTGCATCAAAAGCTCTATGATCTTTTCTTTGTCGTTTTTTCTTCCTATCACATCTGAATCACTGACACGGGAGTGTGTCATATCTCTCCGATAAACAACACGTGTGTCAACATCAATTATTTGAAGACTAAACTTATGCCTATGCGCTGCAACCTTGTCTAGTCTTTTGTTGATATATTTAATTTGTTGTGTCATCTTGTAGCGAAAAAGAAGTGGATTAGAAGTGGATAAGAAGTGACTTACCTTTTCTTTGGTGTTACCATGAGCTTTGACCACTTTGTTTTGCAGTGTTTGACACTCAAATTCATCCAAAACATCTTCGGCTTCGGAGAAGACAGTTTTAAGGTGAGTGAGCCATTCGCGGAGTTGATGGTTGTGATCTTGCTTTTGCTGAGCATCTAACAGAACAGCCTTGACTAAATAGAGAGTCTTTCTAAGGTTTCGAAGATCGTGGTATAAACCCACCACTCGAGAAGCTTCTTGAAAAGCATGAGAAGCAAGCTTTGCTATGAGTGACTCTGCTATGCTGAACAGAAATAATTCGGCCATAGTTGTTTCCAGAACTACTCGACAACTAATGCCATTTGTTGCATTATTTTCAGCAGCGGCTAAAAAGAAATGAGAGGGCAAATGAGAAATATCTTGATATTAGTCTGGGCTTTTTTGCGGTTGTGTCCACAAATTTTTATAGTATACACCAGTGTAAAAAAGGTTTCCTGTTTTTTTTGACTTTTAAGGTCCTTTCCAACGTCAATGAATGAACATTAAATTAAGTTAGTGATATTTTATTGGTTGTTATATTTGAAAAATAAGATGATTATAAAAAAATTGTTAAAAATATATCTGATGTTTTATGGCGTCCAACTCAATCCTCTTCACGTGAATATCCAGAGGGTAAATATGATGTATCTATGAGCAAGTTAACATAAATTTTGTGAATACGAAGGAGTTGATTGAAATTCAAAGACTAAAAGTTAAGAAGTTAATTTTTAAGTCTAACTCAATTTCACAAAATTGTTTTGATTTGTAAAATAAGATTTATATTTCATTTATATATTATAATTTGGTCTTGTCTCTAATAGATCTCGGCCTTCCAACTATGATTAATGTATGTTTGGCCTGTATTCTGATTTGTCTCATGAATCTGTTTAGATGCCATCTATCTAGGTGCTGATACACGTTTCTGTGAGAGATGGAATATGCATGAACTTTGACTGTCAATATTCATTGAACCTGTCGGTTTTGTAGGAGTAATAGTATGTTTATTACAAAATTTTGAGCTATAGCATAGAAAACGTTTAAAGGAGGAATAAATAATTGGAAGGAAATGACATAGATGTTAGAATTGGCCATGCCGTGTTGCTCCTCAAATTTTAAAATCTAGGACCACACTATAGATACTCTTTACGGTACAAAGTCTAATTGATATGGAGTGCAGAATTTTACTCCTTTTGGGCCATAATCCCATACTTTAGACATTCTTTTGTTCAATTATTTTAATCTATCACTGTATCTTGAATACCAGCCGTGATTTCTAACTATTTTTTTGTTTTGCTATAATAAATTTGTTATGGATCATGATCCTAGGAAATATTAACGAAGTAGGTTCAAGTTACAATGTACTGTGTTGTTTACTCAAGACTATACTTTTCAAATATTAAATGACCTTTCTTTCATTGCTTTATTCTATATTACAAGACATATAACCATCACTTTATAGTGCTGCAGTAAGCTTTTCAGTGTATTTTATCTAGATCGTGAACATTTTTTTTAACCTGCAGATTTTCTTAAATTTTTTTAAATGCTAGTGTTTTGTGTACTGTTGTTTGGAGTTGATGTAATGCATTATATTATACAAAATAAGAGTAGATTATGAATTATATATAAACGATCAAGTACTATAGAATATTATTTGTATATACATTAAAGTCATCAATTCTAGCTATTGATTTTCTTATATCTTATGAATTGGTGCTTCTGTTTCATTTAAGGTGCTTCTATTTCATTTAAGTGTCCTTTTTGGTTTTAATTAGTGGTTTAAAAGGGTATTGTATGAACGTTACGGTGCTGGTCATTTTATTTAAGGCTGAAATAATTTAACTACTGGGAAAATATATTTGGGGTGGGTGGGACATTCTAAGCTAGTGGTTTATTCATCTTGAAAGTCTTTCTTCCTTAATTCAGGGTGCTTGTAATTATTTCCAGCTCTTCTCCATTGTATGAGTTTTGGACTGATGCATTGAAATAGTTTATGGCTAATATATGTTATGATTATTTTATTTTTATATTTTTATGATTTTACTACCATACAAGACAGCTTTGTCTTTGGCCAAGTCTACTTCATTTTTGCTGTACCGTGACTTTCCTCCATTATCTCTAAATAATTGGTTTAATGGTCTTAAAGATTTTCCAGATATAAACCATAAGAAAAATGAAGCCTTTTCTCTGGTATAAAACCGTGACCTTATATACATGAACATAAACTGGAAATAATTTGTCACCATGGGCTATTTTGTTCATCTTATTTTGTTCTCACTCGGAGTAAGTTTGCTTCAGAGTTTTAATCTCAATTAACTTGGAGAATGGATAGCTTATAACGATCATAAAATAAGAAATAGAAAATAAGAAGTGAAAATAAACCCATCAAGGGTTAAAATAAAGGTCAGTTTTACGAAATTATTTGCAGCTAGCACAGTGATTCAAAAATTTCGAGTTATCATTCTTTTGAAAGATTTTTGAGTCTACATTCCAACCCAAAAAGAATCATCTCATTTGAAGTTATGTGGAGAGAAAAATAAACAAAACAATTCGTAGCTGAAAATACATAAAAACGTGATTAAAATGTTGATTTTAAACTTTTACTGGAGTTCCTAAAAATTTCTATTCTTGTGTTCATAGAATGATTATTGAGTCTAGAATCCAACAAAATAAGAGTCAACGCATTCAGAGTTCTTTAGAGTAAAATACTAAACAAAGGTCATAATCGATAGCAAATTGTCTTGAATCTGATTTTTGGATTTAACGCAAATTAACATGTGTTTAGTTTCTTAAGATTTATAACCTTTGATGATTTCTCTAGTCTTATCGTGTATAATCATGAAAATTTATGCTTATCTCGGTAGTTAAAAAGATAAACAAACTTAATTTCACTTAAGAATGGAATGAATTGTTATAATAGACTAGTTAATTACAATTATAGTATCAAGTTCTTTCGGTAGATGTAGTATGATCTTGATAACACGCTATTGACATATTTCAATGTTTGAAGTACTCTGTAAATTATGTTTTTTTGTGTGTTTGGTTAGCTCACCTTATTTGTGTGACTATAAAGATCGTATAACTCATGTCATTATACGAGAGTAGATGATATTTCAGGTAAAGCTAGAGAAGTTTAGAACGAGGAGCATGTTGGAAAATTTATGGGAATTTCAGAGTGTGGTTATAAATAAATTATTGTTATGTATTTTATTTTAAGCAGACTTTTAATTATGTATTTTAAATTACTTTATGTGATGGTTTATAATTTTAAATCAACTTTTGATATTTGGTTTGTAATCCAATAATTACTCTTAAAATCTTGACGTATTTATTCTATAATAATCTTAAAAGTTGTGACTTTAAATATAAACAAATATAGAAGAAAAATTATGACACTCCGAGAAAGGGGTGCTACACTTATCAATTTATCCTCGATATCTTTTCAAGTATAAATTTTGTCACGCTTTTAAGATATCAAAACTAGGAATGTTATAGTGGTAGATATTTATCTTGTTTTAGACGTCATCTATTCCGACTTTATATTACTCTAGATACAATGAGAGTTCATTCAAACAACAATATAACATATGGAAAAGGGAAACTCCAATGTTAAAGTTATATGACCTCAATGTGGTATTTTCTGACGTCTAAATTGGATTTTTTGTTTTGTTTTTTATGTTAAATTGTAGATGTTAAATTCCTTCTTTTGCTAACGTGGAGAGACTTAACAGGTCTTGTTGGATTGTACTCTTTAGCATGTTTATTGAAGTAGAAAAAATTTGCATAATTTTTTTTTGTATTTAAATATTATATCTTATTCTTCCATCTTATTACATCATGAAATTTTTTTCCGAAAATGTTTTCCATAATTTTGTGGACACCTTTTGTACTTGTCTTGAAGAACAACTAAAGTAATGAGAAACATCTGTACATTTTTAATGTTGCAAAATCCTAAACATATGTATTTAGGTTATGCTTCTATAACTTTGTATTTACTTTATTTTTTTTTTATATATTTTGATACTAATTTTTATTATACAATTGTGTTTTGAGAATACTTTGCAAAAGGAGAACAATGTTGTCATCGAATATGATCACAAACAAGAGACTTGAAGATTAAAATTTTCACGAATGAGCAAAGTGTTAGCATTATTTTAAATATAAAATAAATATTATACCATTTTCAGTTCTTATTTTTAAGGAACATAGAGTGATCCATTAAGTCATTATTTTTATCCTTTTAAATGCATAGAGGTTATAGAGCAGTTATTAGTTTTATTAAAACCCATTTATTTTGAACCTGTGATGACCAGACTTTAGATAAGAGAACGTGTTACTCTCAGTTTTGATCACTAAGTCTACTCCTCTATGCAGAAAACACATCATCAAGTTTGAGTGAGTTAAGGTTTAGAAAACAAATTGCAATGGCAGGAGATACACACGTTATTCTTTCATTTTTGCTTCTACTATTTTTGATCTGAATGTGTTACTTTGATGTTAATATAACATGTTTAGGTTAATTTTATATTCTACTATTTTATCATTTGATATCAGAGCCCTTCTTCGTTCCTCTCTCTTGCATGTTTTCGTTGATTTGGATTTTTGATTTATGGACTTTATTATTTTGATTCATTTCATTCAAACAAAATTCCCAAATTAACGTGAAACTTGATTACAATTTTTTGTAACGGAGCTTTTATATTTAAAAGTGAAAATAAAATTGAAACCGGGTCAAGAGGATTCATTTAAAGCTTGAAGACGATGAACATTTTTTGTCTGTTCGTTTTTTCTCTCTCTCACGTTTCAAGTTTTCTCGCTCTCACGTTTCAGGATTTTTTTATCCATTGAAAAATCCTTTTGTTTTTCTTCATTTGTTTAGTTATATGAAGAAGAAACCTTGTTTCTGCGTTTCAGTTTTTGGGTCAATTCGTGACCTGTAACTTTTCTTGACGCGTGTCTCCATGTTAATAGCTGGGCTTAGGAAAATTCTCAGCTTTTCCCTTCTACAGAATTGCAGGCGCAATTAATTATTGAACAGTGACTTGCGCCTATTAAGCCAAGGGGTCTTTAACACGTGTATTTATTTGAACTGTTAGATTTGACATGCACACATAATCATATTGATTAAAAAGGGGTTTTTGCAGTCTCTAAACCTATTCTTTTTCTTGGTTTTGTGCGTTGAAAAATTATAAAAAAAGTGAGGGTTAATTTTCTCTACCACGCACAACCATTCTCAAATTATTTTTTTATTATTTTATAGGTCATTTTAATGACCTGACACAACATTATTTCTTAATGC